TGTGTGAGTGTGTGTGAGTGTGTGTGTGTGTGAGTGTGAGAGTGTGTGTGTGTGTGTGTGTGTGAGAGAGTGTGTGTGTGTGTGTGAGAAAGTGTGTGAGAGTGTGTGTGTGTGTGTGTGTGAGAGTGATCAGTGTTGATGACTCGTTGCTGTAGATCCTCAATAACAAAGTTTAATTGCGGCTGTAGGGAGCTTATTTTCAGCTTAATATGTTTCTGTAAATTCCTGCAGCAAAATGAACTTTCCCAACATGTGATTGCAGCTAAACAGTGACTCACGCGAGTCGAATATGATCTCGCTGTTGACGGTGGTTAGTGTATGTGATGAAGATGAAACCGTTCTGTAGGTGGAAACGATCGGATGCCTCGTCCCTGAGCAGCGGCTCTCCTCAATATCCTGATTCATTCTCTGCGCTTTTCCCATCTAGTGACGAGTTTGTGGAATTTGCTTATGTTAATGGAAAGCTGTTCGTTAGGAGCCTCCTGTATTTCACAGAGCCACGAGCATCATTTCCAGTAACGACCGAATGAATAGAGAGCAAGATAACAGCCGAATGAATCAACCTTTTCTTCCGATGCTGAGATTCTGACTTGATTTAAGATGGCAAACGGAAGTAAATCGATGGATTGAGGATGGCGAGTGCTCAGACTTACACCTGACATGCAGTTAATCATCATCTTAAATGAAAATGAGAGAATATGCCACGTCACACACGTGTGCTGAAGAGAAGCCGTTAGTTGATGCTGCAGCAGCCGAGGTGTTGCTCTTCTAGTGAACTTAGCATTACATCTGCTGCTGCTCATACCTTACGTATCTTTTCCATGTTAATCTGAGTTTTTGTCCTAACTAGCTGCAACGGCGACATGTGAAATGTCTATTTTAGAAATGGTTTCTATTTCCACGACATCGCGACTGAAACAACATACAAACTATATGAGTGATAATCTCACGTACTTATGTGCTTTATTCAAAGTTAAACATGTCTGTATGAGATTGAATATCATTTTGAGTGACATTTAAAGCCATACTGAGCCATACATGGCAATAGTTTACCTCAGATCTTGAAAATAAATTAAGGCAAACATGTACGTTAAAACTGCGAACCAACGAGTGCATTCCATAACAAAGATGGTATCAGTCACTCAGTATGTGCATTTAATGATGTTAAAAAGGTTTGATATTTATGAATTAGATTATAAATCCATTTTGTTGCAAATGCAGTTCGCTTCCAGAGAGACTCCGCCCACACACGCTTCTGATTGGCTGTGATATGATTCTGTTGCGTCTGGTGTGGACACACAAAGTGCTTGTCGCTGGAATCTTGTTGCGTCGCGTGTAGTTATTAGATTAGGTTATTAGGTGTTATTAGATGTCCCGGAGCGGTTGACCAAACCTCACTCTGAATGAAACATACACTCTGTTCAGTTTCTGCATAAAGCGAGGCAGGGTGTGAAAACAGCTTCTGTCATTGCAGCGTCTGAACCAAACCTGAAGCTGCGTTCGCGGCTGAAGCAGAAGGTGTCGGAGCGGAGGAGCAGCCCATTACTGCGCCGCAAAGACAGTCCCATCAGCACGCTGAAGAAACGCTCTCTGGACATGGCAGGTGATGCTCGAGACGCGCTCACATGTGCTTGCGTGACTGTTTTCACACAGACAAACTCTGTCTCTCGTTCTGACGTCTGTAGATTCGGCGTGTAGCAGCGCTCCTGGATCTGGACCCAGTTCCCCAAACAACAGCTCACACGGAAACCTGTGCGAGAACGGCATCAGCGTGACTGAGGTGAGGCTAGTTTACTGCATCAATGTGCCTGTGTGTGTCTATGTCTATGTGTGTGCACAGAAGAAGAGTTGTTTCATAAACTCGTGGATGATTGGGTTTTACACACAACAAAATTCCTCTTTTCCTCTACATTTCACCTCTGCTCTAGCTTGTTTCCCAGTCTAGCGTTCTAATAAAGCTGTCACTCTACACTATGAATACTGTTGGCTCTGTGGTGAATTACTTATGTTTGTCTATTGTAAGTTGCTTTGGATAAAAGTAGGATGTAACGATTAGGTTTGGGAAAATAAATCGATGCATCGCAAATCGAGAAAAGATTCCGGATCGATCATCCGAATGCATGGCGATTTTTTTCTCGAGTGGATTCTGAGCTTAGTTTTGAACAGCAGATGGCGCTGCATGCTTTAGAAACGGCCGTACTCTGCTTGTTTCCAAATCCTTACACACACTTGAACATAAAATAATCATTCATAAAATGCAAGGTTGAAGCTAATTACAAAGGTGTTGACAGTGGGCTGTGTTTACATTAATCTGGCGTCATAAAAGCATTCTGAGCCGAGGTGAAATTACACTTGAAGCGTGAAACAAATAACGCGTTATACGGAGCCACTAAACGTTTAGCCGCTTCCTAGCGCTAGTCTGTTGCATTACAGTACATGAAAGTTCACTTACCACATACACCGAGCAAGGAGAAATGTCTGATAGGACGATGGCGAATGATTTGCAGATCCTGAGCACCAATACTAAACATCTAATCTTCTCAAATTCATTGCTGTTCATAAACTCCACCTGCTGTCAGAGAGTGAATCTGCATCTCATTCAGCTCGTCTGCTGTTTCTGTTTCGTTCAGATATGTTTTATGTAGTATAGTTTCACAAAACTAAAGTCAGACCATTCTGTTTTTGCTTCGAATAAAAAAAAATGACAATACAATTTAGATTAAAATCTGCTCATGCCGCATGTTTATCTTTGTTTGGATATCTAATCTTTGTTTGGATCATGATTAAAATGCAGTGGTTGCCTCTCATTTCAAATGAAAAGAGCACAGACAAAGCCTTAGTTTATATTATGAGATTTCGTGTTATTCATTTGATTTGGGGTTTGTTTTAAAATTACAATTGAGTTTTCACAAAGAAATGTTTAGCAATTTTGTCTGAGAAATAATAAAAAGACACATTTTCATTTCTAATTTGTCTCGAATCACATTTTGTTAAAAAAAATTGTGAGAATCATTTTGTGAAATCAGTATTGTATGGCATCGTGAGTTGAGTGAATCGTTACATGCCTAGATAAAAGCTAATGTGTAAATGTGAATGTGCTCCAGTCGCTGTTTCTGTTTCGTTCAGATATGTTTTATGTAGTATAGTTTCACAAAACTAAAGTCAGACCATTCTGTTTTTGCTTCGAATAAAAAAAAATGACAATACAATTTAGATTAAAATCTGCTCATGCCGCATGTTTATCTTTGTTTGGATATCTAATCTTTGTTTGGATCATGATTAAAATGCAGTGGTTGCCTCTCATTTCAAATGAAAAGAGCACAGACAAAGCCTTAGTTTATATTATGAGATTTCGTGTTATTCATTTGATTTGGGGTTTGTTTTAAAATTACAATTGAGTTTTCACAAAGAAATGTTTAGCAATTTTGTCTGAGAAATAATAAAAAGACACATTTTCATTTCTAATTTGTCTCGAATCACATTTTGTTAAAAAAAATTGTGAGAATCATTTTGTGAAATCAGTATTGTATGGCATCGTGAGTTGAGTGAATCGTTACATGCCTAGATAAAAGCTAATGTGTAAATGTGAATGTGCTCCAGTCGTCTCACAGGCCGGCTGGTCAGGACGGGTCGGTTAGTCAGCTGTCGCTCTACACGTCTCCTTCACTACCCAACATCACCCTGGGTCTGCCGGCCACTGCCACCAACGTGAGTGTTCAGACCTAACTGAGCTTGTGCCGTTGGGTTAGAAACAATGGGTTAGAAACATTTACTTAACTCAGGTCAGATCCTCTGTATTTGTCTGACTTGAGTAAGTTTTGCCTTTCAAGTAAATTTGTTTTTAAAAGTGGTTTAGATATTTTTACCGGAACATAAACAGTAATTAGAGTGTCTAACGCAGTAGCTCGACCTTTAATGAAGAAATATTATTCACAGTTAATACCGTACTGAACTGATCTGTGTGTGAGAAACGGTCATCATCAACCTGTAACGTGTATTTGTCCACCCGCTTAGGAGCATTTGGTCAGCACTCATCTTCATTTTTCTCCGTCATGTGATGCTTTGGAAAAGGCTCAGTTTTATTTTGTTGTTGCTTTAACAAGGTGACGTCTACCCAGCTTGACAGCGAATGTTTGTCTGTGACCGGTTTACCCATAAGCACTCCATTCCTGGTCACCCCTCACCTGCCGTCATTTCTTGGCAATTCGGAGACTGCAAACTCCCACAATGCACTGCTGCAGCACATGGTCCTTCTGGAGCAATCAGCCCCACCGAGTCCTTTAGCCGTAGAGACACCTAGGAGAGCAGTGAGAGAGACGCTGCGTATGTGTCGCCCTCTTGTGGTTGTTGTCAGTGCACAGCACCTGTAATGTGTGTGTGTGTGTGTGTGAGAGCAGCAGGCTCTTTTACTGGAGCAGCAGAGGATCCATCAGCTCAGAAACTACCAGGCATCCATGGAGGAGGCTGGTGCATTGGTCAGTTTCCCAGGGCACCGTCCTCTGTCCAGAGCCCAGTCATCTCCTGCTTCCGCCTCCTTCATCAGCTCGCAGGAGCAGCCTTCCAAACCACATTTTACCACAGGTGCGTCACACCTGTCCTCTCTGTGACCTCAAAACAGAATTCACAAGGATGAGCGCTCCAGTTAAAGTTTCTTTCTCTAGGTCTGGTGTATGACTCTCTCATGCAGAAGCACCAGTGCATGTGTGGAAACACCAACGCGCACCCCGAACACGCCGGGCGCATCCAGAGCATCTGGTCTCGGCTGCAGGAGACGGGCCTGCGCAGCCAGTGTGAGGTGGGACATGAATACTGGAGTTATTAGTTTCTGATGCACTGGCTGAATCGATCTCTATCACTTAAACTCTGCATGTGACACAAACATGATTGATTTTGTCATTTTAATGTGAGAAATATTCCACAAAGTTCAGGAAAAAAATAGTTTTCCACTCAGAAACACACAGGAGTACCATATTTCTCTCGAGCAGTTTAGTGTGAATCACTCATGTGAAGTTAAAGATTGTTGTCCTTAAAGTTTGATTCAAACGGTGCATTGAGTTGTGCTTCCTGATAATAGAGCTACGTTTCACTGGTGAGTGTTGGGTTTTGGAGGCTGCTGTTTTATTTACCTCAGCACTTCTAATGATGTGTCAGCAGGGGGCGCTCTCGTGCTCCAGTCAATCTCTCTGTCCTGTATTTTCAGTGTATCCGTGGGAGAAAAGCCACATTAGAGGAACTGCAGACGGTTCATTCTGAAGCTCATGTCATGTTGTATGGGACCAACCCACTACGGCAGAAACTGGACAGTAAGACTTTTACAATCCAAAACGAAGATCCCCTCATCATTTACTCAGACTCTGCGGTGTGAATGCATCTCTGATATGTCGTCTTCTCTCTGTCTGGCTCAGGTTCTGTCATCTCCATGTTCGTCAGGCTGCCGTGTGGTGGTATTGGGGTTAGTAGAGACAAAGTCCGTCTCAACCATCTCTTCATCATTTATGCAGCATGTAAGGAAGGTTTCTGCTTTGTCTGTGAAGGTGGACAGTGACACGGTCTGGAATGAAGTTCACTCGTCGAGCGCAGCGCGTCTGGCCGTCGGTTCTGTGGTCGAACTCGTCTTCAAAGTGGCATCGGGAGAGCTGAAGGTTGCCGTCTGCCATTGTCTTTCTCTCTTCATGTGTATCTGTATGTCTATCTGTATTATTTGATTGACGTAGAGCGGTGTGTCTCTGGCTTCATTGCAGAACGGCTTCGCTGTGGTCCGGCCGCCGGGACACCACGCAGAGGAGAGCACGCCCATGTGAGACGCGTCTCTGTGTTTGTGTCGCTCTGTGCTTTCTTCCTTTACTCCTGTAACATTGGTGCTCTCGTCCAATCACAGGGGCTTCTGTTACTTTAACTCTGTTGCCATAGCAGCTAAACTCCTACAGCAAAGACTCAATGTCGGCAAAATTCTGATTGTTGATTGGGTGAGTTTATTTAGAAGAATTATTTGGCACTTCTGTATTTTCTTTTCTTTCTGTTTAACATTTGATAATTTTTCTTAAACCACATTCAGGACGTTCATCATGGCAACGGAACACAACAAGCGTTCTACGACGATCCCAGAGTTTTGTACGTTTCGCTTCATCGATACGACGATGGCAATTTCTTCCCAGGCAGCGGCGCTCCTGAAGAGGTAATGCAACGATACGAGTGGATTGTGGGAAGGTGTTTTGTTTCCTAACTCATGCAGCACTTCCTCTGAACAGGTGGGCAGTGGGCCGGGAGTCGGTTTCAACGTCAACGTGGCGTTTACTGGAGGTCTGGAGCCACCGATGGGCGACGCAGAGTACCTCGCTGCCTTCAGGTAAAAGAGTCTCAAACACGTTCTGCTTGTACAATGAATAACAGTCTTACTGAATTTACGTTACGCATTAGCCAGCACTTTTAAATTTGCCAAGATGTCAGGCACTCTGGCTCCTGGTAAACATTGGACTATGGTGGCTGGTGTCTGTATTTTCACGTTCCGTACAATAGAATCGCCAATAACTAGAGCACACACTCACACTCTCTCTCTCTTACACACACACACTTACTCACACACACTCTCACTCACTCACTCTCTCTCACACACACACACACACTCTCTCTCTCTCTCT